TTATTATTGATGAATGAGTAAATTGTTGTTTTGTTTGTATTATGATTGGCTTGAAAATAACTGTTCAGTAGTAGTATATCAGTAAATGTTTACAAGACACACATCTGCCATTGGCCTCTGCACCACACCCACTTTTGTGCATCTGCTTCTGGGGCTCAGGCAAAGGAGGACAAAGCTCCACCAAGTGCAGTGGCAATGCTTGTAGGCCTCCTTGGTGATTTATTGTAAAATAAATAATCATTCCGAGCTCGATCTTCTATAAATGTTGTGTAGGACTTTGCCAGGGAGCCAAGGATGTGGAGGCTATAGTAAAATCTTGGCACAATGCCAGTACCTAGTTGCACTTGAGTTACAGATCATAACGATTTCATATGATTACCAAAAAAAAAAGGGGAAAAAAAATTGAAACCATTTGTACGTGTCTGTTAAATAATTTGTTAGTATGGTTATTAACAATGATGATAATTAGACAATAATTAATATATGTCAGTTTTATGATTGCTGTGAAAGTGATTGACAAGAATGACAAGTTATAAGTAATTTCTTGCAATTAATGTCACAAATTGCTATAAAACATGTGCTATCTTTGTAGAATATAGGGGTTTGTGATCAGAGCATACATACAAAAGCTTACATTTTTAAATTGTTACCAGTTTTAAGGTTGTTATTATGTTAAGATATTTATCATGTTAGGCCTATAGGATTCAGTTCTCTAAGTTAAATAAATAACAAATTCTTTTGCCACCATGAATCATAAACTAGCTTTTATTTTTCTTATAGAAAGGTTTAACAAGAGTTCTCATTTATCATTTTGCTAATGGATTTTTTATTTGAATTTATCTTCCTTTATACTTTTATATACAGTAAGTCTCCAACTTAAGAACATAATGGGGACTGAGAGGCTGTTTGTAAGTTGATTAGTTTGTATGTCGAAAGTTGGGTCTCCATTACCTTTTTTCCCATTATTTTAAAGTTTTGTTCACATTAAGAATACCTGTAAGTAAATCCCAATAAGTACAACATACCTTATACAGTACCAGACTCTTGAACTATATTTGCGCCCGGGAAATTTGAAGTTTGCTAGCATCTTTCAAACAATTTTTTGGACTTTAGTACTTAAAAAACTTTGTTTGTATGTATGGAATGTTCATAAGTAGAATGTTCTTAAGTAGGGGACCATCTGTATATACTTACAAGTTTGCATGATATCTTTAACCCACTGGATCCGGATGCTTCACTGTGGCTTGTAGGCCAGATGCACACAAACACTTGTGTGGTAATGAGACTCCTCTTTGCAATGTTGTTTTCTCCTTTTCTGCATAATTTTTTTCAGCTTTGTTATTTTTCAGCTTATACATTTCTCACTTGATGAGCTTTTTCCATTTGGTAATAGACTGTTTTCCTTGCACAGACACCATATCATCTCTTTACGTAGTCCAGAACTCTAACTCACAGGCTGTATGTCCCATACTCATTTATCAATAGAAATAATGCAAAAGCCCCCTCCTAAATGTCAGCCAAATTTTCCAATGATATGTTCATGTCACTTGCCCCCCCAAGCCAATTTTTTTTAGGATGTGATGGTCATGTTACACAGATTGTAGGGGTTAAAGAGTAGTGTCAGATGATTTCTCCCGTAAATAAACATTACTCTCTCTCAAGTATAAATGTTTTTTTCAGTTTCCTAGGAAATGGCCTTCGTCCTGCCAACCCATGAGAAAACAACTCTAAGCTCTCCTTGCAGGGTCTTGTCTTTTCATTTTGTCTGGATAGATGTTTCTCTATCTACCTTGATCAGTGCCTTCTATATTGTTAAGCCATGTTCTTTATGGGCTGCCCTTGAGCTTCCTGTAATCGGGGCTTTTGGGATTATGAGGCAAGAGTCCTCATTCACTGAATCCACAACAGCCTCTGGTTTTTAATGTGTTTTCTGTAAGTTGGCATGAAGTGCTAATAAAGGGGCTTACCCCCCATGTTTAGGGAATAGATGAAAGGTAAGAAAAGTTAGGTTTGGATTTAGGGTTCGCATGATACCCAAGTTTTGGAACTTAGTCTCTGGAGAACTCATCGCTCACAGTAACAAATCCCAAAGCCAGTTTGGAGAAATGTCCGAGCATATATATGATACAAATTCTTTCTAACAGTGATGCATAAAATGGCCAAAGAGTGGCTGTCCTGTAATTTTGTGGCTATTGTGGTGGAATTAGTGTTGAATTTTGGTTTTATGTGGGTTTTTGGAGGAAAATAAGATTTACATTTTAGGGATAGTTGGCCTTTTTTTTTTTCTTTCTTTCTTTTTTGGTAATCACAATGCTTATAGAAACCAGTAAAAAATAGAGGATATATATTTTCCCCATTTTTTAGTTTCTGTATCACATCAAATGTTCGTTTGAAGTATATAGGGTTTTAGACTTATATTTACGGAGAGGTCCCTGCTGGTTAGCAATTTCTTTGATTTGAATGTACCCTCAAAGTAAGAAAGAAAATTAAAATAAAATGAAATTAGTCAATCAATGAATCAATCTAATGTCTCCATACTTTACAGGTATTACTAACTCTCATAACAAAGATGTCGGCAAAGATCCCCAAAGTGGATTCCCCAAATGAGACGACCTCCCTCACTTCGAGGCGGGTTGAGGGAGCAGCAGCAGCAACAGATGCAGTGGAGGAGGAAGAAGCAACACAAATCCCACCAGAGATCGATTCAGAACTCCTTTTCGACCTCCAGATGGTGCTGGATGGCTTCACGCAATGCAAGAAGGACGATGGACAGTTGTACCTTGATGGGTACCTTAGGGCCTACAGTGAGATCAACAAGTATGGCTCTTTGATTCTCATTTGTGTTGTGGTGTGGTGTGTGATACAGTTTTGTCTTTGATTTTATATGTTTAAGATTATGTTGTTTGTTTTCCTTTTTCATTGTACACTTTTTTTCAATCATTATTGCACATATTTTTACTGCATGTGTCATGGTACCAGACTACTCCTTTTCATAAGAATTATGCATGATATGAGGATATTCACTCTTTTTTCCCTAGATAGTATGCATAATCTTTGATGTATGGTATCTAATAGAAGTGTGTAAAACTTGTGTAACTAATTCAGATTCAGATTAATTGTCTTTGCTACAGCTCATTTTCACCATGGATATATATATATATATATATATATATATATATATATATATATATATATATATATATATATATATATATATATATATATATATATATATATATATATATGTGATTGGCGTATGACAGAATTAAATTTAACAATCACTCTTAATGCTGTGACTGGTAAATATTAGAAATTTTGAGGTTATAGATCAAGTGATATATTTTGAATGAATTGCAGTTTTTTCTTGAGAGTAAGTGCTAGTACATAGGCAGTGTAACATGTCTTTTTTAATGCACATACAACCTGTTAAATGTCAGCAATGTGGAGATGAATATTGATGAAGGCCACAAAGTTTTCTAAAGATAACTGAGGATTGAAACAAAAGCAGCTTCATGGCAACATAATTACAGTTGCAATAGACACTTCCCATAGCCATTTTTATATTTATTAACCCATTGAGCGTGGGCAGCAAGACTACAATGCCATGCCCAGTGTAATAAAATTTTATCTATTGTCTTTATGCATAGATGGCTCTACAAGTGCTTAGTCACCAAGGAGTCAGTTATTAGCCTTACCAATCTCCTTTGTTTACCCTGTGCCTTAATTTTTTGAAAGCTTGACTTCTATTATTTTATTGTCTATGAAATTATTTTGATAATAATTTTATAATCAAAATATCAATAAGATAGATAACAATATCATTGTCAACCTCATGCCGCTGGGGATAATGGATAAAAAGTGAGGGAAATGCTTTACTCCTTCTTATGTTTTTGTGAAATATGTTTGCACATAGAAGGCTCTGCTAGTGCTTAGCCACAAAGGAGTCAATTAGTAGACTCTGAGACCTTACTTAATTTCACCTTTCCTTGAATTGGCAGGAAAAAATTATTTTTTACTAATGCTATGAATGTTGATAGTGTTATTTTTATTGTAGAAATTATAATTACTATAATGTTATAAACAATTGTAACAGAAAAATAAGATAACATGATACAGAGTAAACAGGTGAGACAGGCAGTACTCGTAATTGGCTCACTGGTGGCTTCGTACAAGTGTAGCCATCTATGTGTAAAAACAATTAATAAAATAAATTCACAGTGGGCATGACATGTACATAAATACCATGCCTTTCGGTATTGGATTAATAGCATTGGAAAGAAAAACGCATTTTCCTGCCAATTTAAGGAATAGGGCAATTGGGATCGGTCACTAGGGCCAACTGATAGACTTTTTGCTGCTGAGCACATGTGGAGCCATCTGTATGTAACAAAACTCACTAGAATCTAACAGGGACAATACATAAAGCTGTTGACATTGGGGTAATATCTCATGTTTTAAGACTAAGGATTATCTTAACCCATTCACGCCGGGTGTCACGTATATGTGACGGGCCCACTGTGAGTTTACTTGTTTAATTGTTTTTACACATAGATGGCTACACTTGTACATGTACGGCCTGTGTTGTCTGGTTACCCTTTTCTTTAATTTACGAAAATATTTTACATTATCTTATCTTGCTATTACTAATGTTCATAACATTATAGTAATTATAATGTTTATAATAAAGATAACCATCGATATTCATAGCACTAGTAAAAAATACATTTTCCCGCCAAATGAAATCAGGTAAGGCAGAGCCATCTAGTGTACAGAAATTTCACAAAAAGTATAAAAAATGAACACAGCATTTTTCCCCATTTTTTGTTCATTTTTACCCGGCGTGAATGGGTTAAAATGCTGAGTACTCCTTTCATTGGATGAATAGAGGAGATGAAATGTATACAATTATCTTAGGCTTGATCTTTATTAAGCAGATTCTGTATGTAAGTAAATTGATAAACACAAGCATAACAGAAATGAAATGAAGAGGAGTATTGTAG